GTGGTAAGAAAGGTGAAGGATCAGATAATGTTGGAACTGAAAATAAGAAAAGGTGTCTTTATGCTAAGAATTCAGCAGTAAGAACACAGAATGGACTAGATAAAGTTCAGAAACTGTACAAAATGCTCCTTTTGATTGTAAAAAAAAAACCCAAAAAAAAAACCTTCCCAAAAAAAAGGAAATTTTTATGAGATTAAGTAATTTCTCTGGGTTAGAGAAATGAGTGATATGGCTCCTATAGGACATTTAAAAGGATGAAGTGAATTTTCAAAATAACAAGATTCAAATATTCTTAATTTGTTATTGTTCCTGTATCCAAAGATAGGATTTATGTTTGTCTGAGTATTCCAGTTCATGTTCCCTCTCTTTGTGAGAGGGGCTTGAATTAACTTGAGGTCATGTGAACAGGGGAAAAGTAGCTTAAATCCAGCTGAGGTAAATCCTGTGTAGGACCACAACCATGCCTTGCTTCATGTTGAGGTCATAATCTTTCATGAGTAAAAGCAGGCAGGTCCCTCAGCAAGAATATCAGTCTCCATAGGAAAAGTGTACCATAAATATGCAAAGAGATTCCAAGTGTTTCCACAGTGATCACTGGAGTCAGCAGTTATTTTGGCTGTATAAGGAATTTAAAACTGGGGCCTTAAATCAAGTCTCAGTTCTTCATGAATTGTTGTTTACACACTTTCCTTAGATTTTATGGGAAATCACAACTTATGCTGGAGTCCCTGGAGTACTGAGTCACGGTGTTAATGGTTTTCTAACACACTGTCAGGGCTTCTGTCTCTAATTGATATTTAGACTGCTATGGATACAGTATTTCAAGCTATGCAGTATCCTGAGGAAAAACAAATTATTGTTACAGAAACTTTTTTTTCCATTTCAATGAGTTAGGAACTTAAGTGATGATTTTGTCTCTTAGGAGAGAAAACAATTGGAACTAGATCACTTTTATAATTTGCTTACTCTCTAAAAGCTGTGTTCCCATGTAAAGCACCTTACAGGACCATAAAAATTACCTGTTTTCATCAATGAGGGCCAGTTCACTATAGCATGGGAGGCGTATGTGTTTCTTAGAGATGCACATAAACCCATTCTGAAATAGTGTAGCTTTAGGAAAATGTCAGTACCCTTTCCTTATCGTTACAAGATGTAAGATATTCTTCTCTTTATAATAGATGATGGGCTTTAACATTGGCTTTTCCATCTAGAATAAAACCTACCTTTCACTTATGCCCCTGCCCTTCGTCCTGTGTAATGAATGTTCATTGGCCTGCTTGTTTTCTGTGAGTTAAAATTGCAGTTTACACAGGCTTTTTCATTGTAGACATGGGTTTTTTTATACTTACCATATTGCATGGTAAACTAAACATAAGACGGTGCTGAATCAGGAGTCGTTCAACTAAAAAGAGAACACCAAAAGTGAAATAAGATGTTCTGGCTTCTGGGATTATGTGTTCAGTTCAGGGCTGCAACTGGAATAATACAGTACAATTCAAATTTTTTTAAAAAGAATAAATTATCATCTTTTATCAAAATTAGGTTAAAAAAATCCAACCACAATTGTCATCACCAGTTTTCCCTCTTCCTCATAAAAACCTTCCAACCCCAAAATATCAACCAAATAAAACCAGAATAAAATTAACAAAACAAACTCAAGAAAAACCTAATCCTGAATATGAGTCAGATGCATGCACCAGCAGCTTATAAAGCCAGCTGTATCTTGGGCTACATCAAAAGAAGCAGCATAGGGCTTTGAGCAGCCTGGTCTGGTAGAAGATGACCCTGCCCATGGCAGGTGGGATGGAACCAGATCATCTTTCAAGACCCTTCCAACCCAAACCATTCTGTGATTCCATTATTTGATTAAAATAGCTTGCTGGTTTTCAGGTAGCAATCTAAAGCTATTTCCAGAACTCCAGGAGCATCCATGAAGGGCTGGGCACAATGTTGTTTTTTTTTTTTTCCACAACACTGTTCAGTACATTGCTGTGTGCCCAGTAGGGATAGAAGTACGACTTGAAATGATGCAGAAACCTTTATGGAAATCGAAGGAAAAAATAATTGTCTATGTTTGGTATTAATTGGCATTTAGATAATATTTGTTGAAAGATGCGACTTGAAACAGAAGCAAGAAAAATTCATGATTTTATACTGCAGGAACTGCATTGATTCTTGTTTCTATGCCTAATCAAGATGACAAATTTGGAGAACTTTATGGAACATATGGACATATGAAATGAAAAACAGTTAGGTCTATAGTCCCAGAAGAGAATATTGTTTAAAAAAAAAAAAAAGGGAAAAAAAAAGACCCCTTAATAAAGTAAGAGGATTTCTGTCTTATCAGGAGCTGAATAATTTCAGGGATCATTCACATCACATTTTGTTTCTATTTTGAGTTCACATAGATATTTTGAGGGTTAAGACATGTGCAGAACCCTTCATTATATTTAATATTGTGTTCTTATGGGGCTGTTAGGAAAAAATAGATCCATCTATTGGTCTCTCTCTGCTGAGTGTCTAAAATGTCTCAGTACTCAATATATGATGCAGCGCTCTGAATCAAAGGCAGTGACATTTGGTTATCCTATCATAGAAAGTGAATTCTGACTAAAATGGCATCTGTATTTTTTCCTTGATCTTGCCAATGATGTCATGCCCCTTGTATTCTGAGGTGATTGGAATCTGCAGGTTTTGATGCCATTGTTTTCCTGGCCCCGAATTCTGAGCAGTGAGTTGTTTGGTTGCATGGAAGCTCATTGAAATGTTTGCTGTTTCATTATCTTCCTATTTTCTTAGATATGAATCCCCAAGTGAAGGATTTCTAGGGATGTGAATTCCATGAATAAACACAAACAAAGGTTGTTCTCTTTTTTCTCCTGGTCTATTTTTATTTTAAACCACCTCAGTTCTTCTTAACTTTCTATTTCCAATCAGTGTGGCTTCTGTAGTTTGTAGCTACATCTCTGAGTGCTTGTTCTCACAAGATTTCTCTCATTTTTTTAAATAACATTTCTTTTAGTCTTCAGTTATAAGACTGTGGTCCAGATATAATTAATAATGAAATTGTGTTTAAATAAAAGTACTTTAGATACTTTGTCTGATCAGGGACATCTTCTGTGAGTGCTGAATTCCTTCTGTTTCAATTTCCTACAGTGTTTGCTGCTGATAACGAAGGGTTTGTTCTGTATTTCTGGCTTTTTCCACCTGTGTCTGCAAACTGAACTTCCTGTCTAACAAGAACTCCATGAAAAGCAGAAAACAACATTGTATTTCTGGGTTTTGTATTGTACAAGATACTTGCTGTGCATAGGTCTTGCCCTTTTAATTAGAATCCTACATTTCTTATGATCAGTTTTATTTGGATTCCGTCAAGAACTTAATTGTTGTGGCTCCTTGAAAGTTGTCAGATAAAGACTGGAAGAAACTCTAGAAAGAGAAAAAAGCAAGTTATTTGTAATATAGGAGCTAGAGCAGAAAATTTTCAGAGTTCCAAGTTCAGTGTTCTTACTTGGCTCTATGAATTGTTGCTTTGAGTTTTTAAAAACCATTTGAGAATTGAACGCTTGCTGGGGAATTGAAAATGTGTTTTGAAAAACTTCCTTTTGCAACAGGCTGTAGGAACAGATTATGGTAGGAGGAGGAAGGGTGCTTTGCTGATAATGCAATAAAATTACCTTCTAGTGACAAGAAATAAAATCAATTATTGCATAGCTCAAGGCACTAATGATAGCTCATGTAATGACCTTGTATTCCTTTCCTTTCACTCAGTTTACCCCACCAGAATTCAGCAAATAATTTTATAGCTTCAGAAATGGAGTTCATCTTACTATGAAGCATTTTTTTACTTTAGTGATTTATATTGTACCTGTAACCAAACCAAAAGCTGAGTTGTTTGCATGGAGTTTTGATGATGGTTGTAAAACAGATTTGTGAATCTGTATGGTTCTTCTGGGAAGGATTTTCAGACATGCTAGCTGACTAAGTCCAAAGGGCGATGTTAGTAAAGCAGCAACTATTGATTTGCCATCATTTGGAGGCATTCATGAGGAATATGAACTCAACAGATTTTTTTTTTTTCCTTTGAATTCATGGGTAAAATATTTCTTTTCCTCTATTCAGGATGTTAAAGTGTAGGTCAGCAGTTTAGCTAGCAAGCAGAAAAAATAATTGCATTTCACTTGTACTTTGGGCATTTTTGGTGTCTGTAAGTCTGCCAGAATTCCAGATATTTCCTAACCTTTTCCTTCCAATAGTTTTATCATTAAATCTTTATATTTAGTTATATAATATTCTGTAGAAATATGTTATACTACTTCCCAGAGCTATGCTGTAAAATACTGCATGTTGAACTGTAGAAGTCACAAGAGAATTTTAGCTTTTAACCTGAGAGAGATTTGAGTTTGTCCACTATAATAATTGT